TTTTGTTTATGCCCATCTAAAGGAAAAACTGCAGCTTATACATCCAGGAACCAAACTCTTCTTCATGAATAGCAAATCAGTGATGGCACCCCCATGCCCTGACATAAAAAATATTTGCCATTTTTAGGTCAGAGTAAAGGAAAAAAAAAAAGACAAAATACCTAATTTCATTAAGATTACTTTAATGTACTTAAATATGCCAAGCTGGCAGGCAAAGAAGGTCATTTGAAATATCACCTAAAAGTAAAGCCTGAATAAGATATTCCACTTTCTCCATTAATCCAGCCATTTGCAAACTGAGGGAAGGGAATGGATTCTGAAGTTCACCTTTGCAAGTCATGGATGGCAAATTTTTCACTGTGTCATCAATACAGCACTAACCATTAGAACATTTATTTCTAATCCAGGCTTCGAGTTTGTCATCCCTAAATGATGCAGCAATTTGGGGGCACGAGAGGGGCAGCACGTCCCAGGGTAAGCCAAGGGTGGAGGCAACGTGTCAAACACTGATTTTGGCCAGTTTTTGGTAAAAGAACAGTCAAGGTTATATGGCTGGAGTATACAATGATGTGAGCATCTGTGATTGAGAGCAAAGGGCAAAGAGAAGAAGGGCTGGGAGCAGAAAGTCAAGGCCAGCTCTTACGTATTTATTTACACTCCAGTCTGGGGGGGATGGGGGCAGGACAGAGGGAAAAAAATAATAAAAATTAAAAAAAAAAAAGAAAGAGCACACAGCTGCCATCCCAAAAACAGACCTCCCATCTGCCACCCACGATTTGCATGTCACCTTCTCCAGGCTCATTTGTACTTCATTAACTGCCATTGACTTAACAAGATTTATGCAAATGACACCATAGGAGCTCGCTAACTCCCACTGCAATCAAGTGATTATGTATGTACAATTCTCCACAGCAATGAAAAATTAATACATGACAAGCCCCCTCACCGCTGAGCTGAGCTTCTTGCTTTTATTTTTCTTGTTGTGTGCATTTTTTTTTAATTTGAATATGCCCTACTGATAAAGATTTCCCAAACCCACAAAAACCAAAGTAATTTTCCCAAAACACTACAAAACCTCCCATCCTAGAAAGTCAATTCCCCAAAAATGTCTAGCCCAATGTGTGCTTCAAAATATGCTTCGAAATATTCACTCAGGCTACCAGGAACAAGACTTCTTTTCCAGAATAAATGGGTTTGGAGGGAGGATTCTCCAACCAGAGCAAGCCACTCGCTTTTATTAGCAATGCTACAGAAAATAGCTTAAGTATTCTTAGTTGAAGCACCTCTTTCTCAAAAGTAAAGAACTTCCTATGGATTTTAACTTGAAGCCAATATTGCTCAAGACTTTTTCTGACTCTGTTTGATTTGCCCAAGATTTTTCAATAGCACACAAGTGAAATTTTGTATAATTTTTAAAAATTTCTGACATTCCCAGTTGTCAGCAGCTGCTAAAAGTCCAGGATTTAAGACATGCTGATGTGGCTGTGCATGCACAAGGTATTGCTACCTCCCCAGGAAATCTGCCTTCCCAAAATTTCACTCACTTTAAGAGTATTTTGGCAGGACTGAGCAGCCACCCTTTAAAAACAAGCCTGCTTTTCATTGCCTACATTTTGGGTTTCTGCTGGGAGCACAAAGGGTCATCAGGACAGTTTTATATGGCTTAGCCCAATAAAACCAAGTTTAGCACTGCAGTGAAAAATCAACTTTACCATGTAGAAAGGACACAGAGAATAAGATCATTAACTCTTTTTGACCAGGCTGCTCTGAGTTAAGGATAAAGCCCTGAAGGAATGAGGTGTTTCCTTGGAAGGAAACAGGCTATTGACAATTTTACCTCCTTCACGGAACCCTGGAATGGTTTGGGTTGGAATGGCCCTTACAGCCCATCTCCTTCCAACACCCTGCCATGGACAGGGACACCTTCCCCTAGACCTAGGGGCTGCTCAGGGCACCATCCAAACTCTCCCAAACTCTCAGGGATTTCCCTTAAACCCACAGGGATTCAGGCACCAACAACAGCAATGCAGGAGCAGGTTGCAACTCCTGGCTTCTTTTGACCAAAACCCAGTGGCAGCTGTGCAGGTCCATGCCTGGGGCCCAGAATGATCAACAACTCTTCCATAGTGCTGGGAGAGATTCCATTTTTTCCTCAAAATCAGAACATTTCCAGCCTCCAAGGAACTTGATTTGGCTGGAGGTTGTTTGTTTGTGGGGTGTTGTTTGGTTTGGTTTTGTTGTTTGTTTGTTGTTGTTGTTTTGTGGGGTTTTTTTTGGTGGAGCTTTTCGATTGTTCAGTTTTATTTTCCCACATCAATCCTAGGAATGCTGCAGCTTGAAACCAGATTTCTCCTTGTATTCCCAAGTATCCCAAGCAACAAGAGACAGGGCAGGAAGAAACAGCCTCAAGTTGTACTAGGGAAGATTCAGGTTGGCTATAAGGAAAAATTTCATCACAGAAAGGGTGGTCAGGCATTAGCACAGCTGCCCAGGGCAGTGGTGGAGTCCCCATCCTGGAGGGATTTAAAATCCATGAGGATGTAGTGCTTGGGCACATGGCTTAGTGGTGGCCTTGTTTCAACACTGGACTTGGTGATCTATCAGGGCTTTTCCAACCTTAATGGCTCTGTGATTACATTTGTCACAGAAAACAACCTATAAGGAAAAATTTTGTCACAGAAAGGGTGGTCAGGCATTGGCACAGCTGCTCAGGGCAGTGGTGGAGTCTCCTTCCCTGGAGGGATTTAAAATCCATGAGGATGTAGTGCTTGGGCACATGGCTTAGTGGTGGCCTTGTTTCAACACTGGACTTGATCTTTCAGGGCTTTTCCAACCTTAATGGCTCTGTGATTACATTTGTCACAGAAAACAACATGATGGAAGGGGTTTCTCATCATAAGAACAGCAGCACAAAGAGTTTTAGCTTGAGAAGTTCCCTTCCACATCTGTCTTATTCCCAGTTAAGGCATGAAATAAAAGGCACCAACTTTCCCAGCAGGAATTTCTGCTGCCTCAGAGAGCTCCAAGGACCTGGCACCTGTGGAGCCCCCTGAGAATGTGGCTGTATCAGCAACTGAACCTGGAGCCACCTCTACTGACCAGGCCTCCAAAATCCTCCTGCCATCTGAGAATGATGTGAAATCCCACTGCAAAAACCTCCCAAGCTCCCACCCCAAAGCCCAAGGAACGGGATGGACCTGCTGAGGATGCACATCAAGGGTTTGTGGGTAATGGCTTGTAGGTGGCAAAATGAAATCACCATAATTGGGATTAGTAACAAGGAGGACATGTCTTCAAAAGATTGGTCATATTTGGTACATAAGCAGGGCTGCAAGGAGTTTTTCCATACAGAAATTACATATATTTTAAGGGATATTTCTTTACAACACGCTGTGGCACAATCACACTTACAATGTTTACCTTATAAAACTCTTCCTACAAGTAGTCTTTTTAATCAAATTAATTCCATACAACAGCATTTCAGGAAAGAACAGTATGTATGCCTGGAATAAATACTGGCACATCTACTCCTCAGTTTTACATTCTCAGCTGCACTCTTGTTTAATTAGCATTACCCAAAAGGATTGCAGCCGATCTAACCCATCCTGTACCATACAAAAGCCATAGGAAAATAAAACTGTAGCTTGCTTTAAATGCCTGGAATCTCCTCCCCTGAATGCAGAGCCAAATACTGAACTCCTCTGCTTTCAAACTGCTCTTCTGGATTGCAGCGTGCTTGATTAAAATTTGCCTACTAGAGATTCACACACGACAGCATTTTTGCTGCCTGATGGTCCCAAAAGGTCTTTCAGAACGACTTCAGGAAGAAAAATCACAGCTAATAGTTAAAGGTACAAAATCAACTCCTCCTTGCATCCAGAAACAGACGAAAAACACGAAACACCCCAAAATATGTAAACCAAACTCCACACAGGACATCCAGGGCTACCTGGCAGATAAGGCATGGACAGAGGGAAGATCAGGAGAGGCAATTGAGCCTCTGGAGGGGAGGAAAGGCACCAAAACAATTGGAAAGAAACATGTGGAAAGAAAATAAGTGGAAAAGAAAGGGAGCTTATCTCTAGCAAGTCAGCTCTCACACATGAGTAAACACTTGCAAACACTGACAGAGAAACTGCGTGAGCAGCATTCCATGGGAATGTGGAGATCTCAACCACATGGACCCAGTGCCATTTCATTTGAGCAAGTAAATCATCTCATTCCCCAAATACTTCCCATCCAACGCTGGCACAGCTTTTGCCTTTGAAAGGAGTGTTCCCAGCTACAATTTAGCATCGAGTTTCCAGGCTAATGAAAGTGCATCTCGGCTAGTAAAAACAGACCAAAACAAATCCTCGGCTTCAAGTCCTGTTGTGTAATGAGAAAGTTTAATTAAGGCCACACATTACAGCTGTAAACGTTCTCTTATATAATAAGGTCTAAATGAAACTGAACCTAATCAAAGTTACAATTCCTTCATTAGCAAATTACAAACAAGAGCGCGCAGCTGACACACCGGCCATGATTATCACAACTAATTGCCTCGTTGTTAGGGAGCAGCCTGAAACTGTGTTCAGATGTCCGTCTGTGGTAGCAAATTAGGGCCACATCAGGCTATTCCTGCCATCACAAGGGGCTCTTGTCGAGCGATCTGATTTACCCTGCGCCTGGCAGCACTCGGCCCAATCAAAGTCCCCTCTACAAAGGCAGCTTTGAAGCCAGCACAGCCTAGAAACCCGCTCCATATGCAGGCCGGCAGACTGCACTTCATTAGGCCTGTTGTCACATTTTCCCTCTTCTTATTCTAATGATCCTATTTTAATACACATAGGAACCTCTCCTAATTGATGTCAAGTGAGTGACTTCCACATTCATCACCGGCGCACATCAAACGCCGCGCTCGCCCTGCCACCGCCGCGCCTGGACCTGAGGTGGGTCTTGTCTCCCAACTATGGAAAGCAGGGAAGGGAAAAAAAAAAATACAACTATTTCGGCATTACCTGTTTAATTGGGATTGCACGGCCGCTTCCAATGCTGTCTGTTCTGCTCTCCAGGACCTTCTTCTCTTTGTCTGGGTCACTCCCTTTCCGAGACTGCAGAGCGAAAAGAAAAGTTTGTGCTCCATTAAATGCACACAGAGGATGCTTTTATTTGCCTTTTTTTTCTTTTGGGGCAATTAAAAAATACTTTGGCAGGTAAATACAGGCTCAAAATTGAATCTACACAAGGACACAACCATCCTAAAAATGAATAAATTTCCCATCCACCACCCATAGATTTCAACCATCCACTAGTTTGAAATGCATTGGGGTTTAAAGAGTTACAGCTTCACTGTCTGAAGACCCACAACATCAGAGGACACGTTTCTGAAGTTTCCAACAGTAGCTCCAAAGAGGAATGAATGTGCCATCTCCTCGTTAAAAAAATTTTAATACAGCCATGCATACATTTAATTCACACCTGTGTGGCTCTTAGAAATGTCAGCAACTATTTAGAAATATGATTTTATAATGCAGGATTTGACCATACGGACTTCAACTTATTTTTTTTTTAGAAAGTTGGAACTGCAAGAAAAGCCGATGACTGGAAAAAGTTATCTGAACACAGTGTGGAAAAATTAGCATGAGGAGAATTTTACCAATGTCTAAAACGCGAGTTGCTTTATCCTGGCTTCCTCCAGAGCTGGAAGGAGTGAGGTCACAGCTCTCCCTTCACGACTTTATCAAGTTATGTGGGAATGGGAAGAAGTTATTCAGATCGCAGCCCGTTATTGCGACAGAACGCACGGGCGCGGTGATTTTGACGGATTTATTTTATTACAAAAAGAAGACCTGAGAGTCATCCTCCTTAATAACTGCGCTGACAAGTGACAACTTCACTCCATTACTTTCCAATGGGAACATTACTCACACAATATCGGAAATGGGAAAACATTTTCGAGTGCTTTTCAACTCGGCGATGATGTATGAAAGGAGCCCACTGGCGGTGTCCGGCACCGCCATGGGGAGCTCATGAAAACTGGGGCAGTGAAAACCAGAGCCCGCTCCAGCGGGAAGAGACTCCGAAATCGGGAGGAGAATCGGGAGCGTGGATCGCTAATGCCCGTCTCCCCCATCCCACAAAGGGGTGGGAGGAAGAATAAAACCCGGGAGCAGCTGCCCTGGGGCGGGAGGGGAGGACTGGAGTAAGAGCATTCTGAGCTAGCATTCACCCAGCGGGGATCCCGCGCCGCCGGCCCCGCTCCGCCGGGAACGGGCTCCGATCGCCAGTTACTATGGATCGGGGCAATGGAATGGCGTGCCGGGGAATTAAACAAAGAACTAATGAAAGCAAGCAAAACAAGTGGGAGGGATGAAATCCAGTGTGCAGGATAACCATTGTTCCTCGTCCTTCAAGACAGATTTCTGCCTCTGAAAGTGCCACTTCCCAAGAATACAAGGCAAAACAAAGCTTCAATGGCGCAAGGCGCCCGTTAGTGACATTGTAAAGAAACTCAGTGAAGGTGCCCAAATCCTTGTGAGGGGAGTTGTCAACTTGAATGTTTCTTTTTTATCTGACTTTTTTCAGAGAAAGAACCCTGCCTCTGAAATGCGGGCTGAATATCTATGCGCTGTTTTTTATTTCTGGTTTTAAATCATCACTATTCCCTAAAAGTTACTGCAGCTGGAAATCACACGCTGCACGTGGAAGGGAAATGCCTACGTGCAAAGTACTGGTAAATACCAAAAGTACAGAAATGTAGGGATTTCTGCTGGGCAAATTCCCTTCTAGCTGCTCATAGTCACAGAATCCCTAATGTTTTCCAGGGGAGAATCTTTGCACGCTCTGCTATTTATAAAGATAAATTGTGCAGTGAAACAGAAATCTGATCTTTTATGCTTTTGTACCTATGACACACACAATATGTCTTATATCCTAGCAGAAAAAAATCCACTCCAAACCACGCTGGAGCAACACTTCCCAGGACTTTTTCTGATGGCACATCTACACAATAAATGGTTCTATTTAAAACTTGGTGCCAGCAAACCAAAAAAAGTCTGGAAAAATTAAAGTACCTGCATGAACATCATTGGAGTGATTTCCCCAATGCACTGGAAGTCACTCACAGACTTAATCCACATAAAACTTGGCCCAAGATGTCACATCTGAGTTTGGGCACAACCAGACCCAGATCAGCAGTGCTGAGCACCCCAAAAGTAAAATACTCATCCCTAACACTAGAGATGGAGACATGGAGCTCATTTTAAGTCTGAAAAACTCCCTTGGAATTCTGGAAATACGTAAGACAGGTAACACTGAATGTGGGAAAGGTGGTGCACCTTTCTGTGCCAGAAATTCCCTCACCCAGTGTGGGATCAGACAAGGTCAGAATCAGCTTCTTGCCCAGTGAACCTCATAAATACATTTTAAATCCTCACCTGCCCCATACAAGATTATTTGGTGGTCCCTGTTATCACACTGTCCAAAAAAAGGATATACAAAGTTATATATTTTCACTTAAGGGGAAAATCAGCTGCTGCAACAATAGCTTTACATACCTGCCCTATACAAGATTATTTGGTGGTCCCTGCTATCACACTGTCCAAAACAAAGGATATACAAAGTTATATATTTTCACTTAAGGGGAAAATCAGCTGCTGCAACAATAGCTTTACAACAAACATCAATACTCAATGTCAAAAAGATGTGACGCTGCATTTAATGCACTGAACATGTTTAAAATTCTCATCCCTATTCCAACTCAAAAACTGTAATTAAGAAGAATCAAATATTTTCTGCTTAGCCCAGTCCTCTTCCAACAAGATGATCTAAAGATCACTAAAAAGATTTCCTGTTAACAAGGGGAAACTTGGAATTATTAAACAGAAATATGTCTGTAAGAGATAAAGGCTTAAGTGACTGGGAAGAGAAGCACAGCAAGAAACCCAGAGCTAAACAGTAAAATATTTTAATTACACACTCTGTTCACAACCAGCATTTTCTGTGTAGTTATCTATTTATTCAATTAAATAATTCCAGGTTGTAACTTGGCACAGAAGCTGGGTTACAGCAGAGTGGGTGTTAAGTACTTCAGGACACAGATTACAGAGCAACTCATTAAACAATCTCACTACACCCACCTTAAAAGACACAACTAAATCTGCAAAGGCAAATTATTACTATTTTTCCCAGTTATCAGACATTAAGACAACTATCAACACCCTCTCATGTTAGTAAATATGGCTCTCACTAATTACCACAAACCAGAGCTTTAGTCTGTTTACAGCTGACTTAACATTCTTCTCAAACCTTCCTGAGACTGTAGATGGGTCTGGTTTTCTCTCCTCCCTTTCTCAAATCTACAGCTGCTCCAGACTGAAACATTCCCAGTTTCCCAAATGCCAGCACCACCTCCAGAGCCCTGGCAGCCCCTCACACATCCCTCAGCCCGGCCATGGATGGACGGCGATGTTTGCAGGGATGCAGCAGCATCCCAGCTCTGCTTCCAGAGCTCTGACTGCTGCTGGTTTCCTGGCTGACACTGACATCTAGTGGGGCTGGGAACTCTGGAATTCTCCCACCAAACTCCACGTTATTCCCACCAATGGGAAGAAATCTGCACCAGTGTTATCAATACAGTGTCAAAGCTGGGACACTTCTTCCCAGGCCACTCATTTTGTTGTTTTCCACCTGCACATCTGCACCCAAACACAAATGCATGACTTCCTCTCCTTCATAGGACTGGGAGATCTGGGTTTAAATCAAAATACCTCTGTTGGGAGGGACACAGCACAGGATCCCTGGGGATCAGTGCTGTCAATCAGAGCTCCAAAATGGTGACAAACTTTCCACTTGCTGATGGTGGAGAGCTCAGATTTCCCTCAGAGTCTGAGGAAATGTTTTTTTTGGGTTTGTATGTGGGAAGTGAGCATGATATGACCTTTGGAATGAAATATATAAATTCTCCATGTTGACAGGAAAGTTGTGGGCTCCTGAACACAACTAACATGTAGCTACAACCCCCAAGGGAGTTACAGGAGAGCCCACAGCCCTTCTGAGTTTGCTAAGACATGTGTGACCTGTCAAAAAACTGCTTACAAATCACAGTTACACCTGCAACATGATCCCAGAGCTTTCAGCAAGAGGGCTTTAACCAAGGAAACCTTCACTCAGGGCTTCACTAGCATCTCCCAAACTACTTCTGCATAACAAAGACCTGTCATATTGCACCGGGCAGCTTTCTATTTGATTTTTTTTCGTTTGATTTTGGGTTTTTTGGCCTCTTAGTGAAGCAAAAAACAGGTGGTTTGGAAAGGAAAAAAAAAGTTACTTTAATCTCCATCATCTTTTATCATATTGCACCAGGTAGCTTTCGATTTGATTTTTTTTCGTTTGATTTTGGGTTTTTTGGCCTCTCAGTGAAGCCAAAAACAGGTGGTTTGGAAAGAAAAAAAAAAAAGTTACTTTAATCTCCATCATCTTTTTTAACCCTGGAGAAGAAAAAAGTGAACTGATTCTATATAGTAGTAAAAGTAGACTGAAGTAGTTATGGAATAGTTTAGTTTGGGAAGGAGCTTAAAGCCCATCTAGTCCCGCTCCTGCCATGGGCAGAGACACCCTCCACTATCCCAGGCTGCTCCAAGCCCTGCTCCAGCCTGCCCTTGGAGGTTTGGGAAGGAACTTTAAAGCCCATCTAGTCCCACTCCTGCCATGGGCTGGGACACCCTCCACTATCCCAGGCTGCTCCAAACCCTGTCCAACCTGGCCTTGGACACTTCCAGGGACCCAGGGGCAACCACAGCTGCTCTGGGCACCCTGTGCCAGGGCCTCACAGGGTGGAATTCCCTCACAGGGAAGGAACTCCTTCCCTTGTCCCAAGTCCCTCTCCAGCTCTCCTGGAGCCCCTTTAGGCACTGAAAAGGGCTCTAAGGTCTCCCTGGAGCCTTCTCCAGGCTGAACAACCTCACGCCTCTCAACCTGTCTTCCTAGGAAAAGCACTGCTGTTTAAGCCTCAAACAGAACCACCCAACGATAATTCCAAAATGTTCTTGGTTTTGAGTCCACAGCTCTGTCTCAGCACTCCTGTGCCATCAGAGCAGCCCAGCTGCAGGGGCTGAGGCTCAGGCTGTCCCAGAGCTGCAGGGGATGAGGCTCAGGCTGTTCCAGAGCACAGAGGGCTGAGGCTCAGGCTGTCCCAGAGCACAGAGGGCTGAGGCTCAGGCTGTCCCAGAGCTGAAATGGGCTGAGGCTCAGGCTGTCCCCAGAGCTGCAGGGGCTGAGGCTCAGGCTGTCCCCCCAGGGGGCTGAGGCTCAGGCTGTCCCCAGGGGGCTGAGGCTAGGCTGTCCCAGAGCACAGAGGGCTGAGGCTCAGGCTGTCCCCAGCGGGCTGAGGCTCAGGCTGTCCCAGAGCAGAGCACAGAGGGCTGAGGCTCAGGCTGTCCCAGAGCAGCAGAGGTCCCCTGGCTGACTCACCGTGAAGAGGTTGGATCGGCGCTTGGACTGTTTACGGACAGGAGTTGGTGTGTTGGCAGTGGGAGGAACATCAATCCGCAGCTCCTTCTGGCTGGTGCTTGGAGTTGATGGGACAGAGGAGGAATAATCACTTAAACTCCCTCCTCCATTACTGGTCTGCAAGGATTAAAGGGAGTTTTAAACAGTGGTACGCTGCTTTCAAGAAATGACAATCCACAGCTGTATCTTATTTACTCCTGTTTTACTCCAAATTAATGCAGAAGTGCAGCCAGGGCTCAGGGGCTCAGCAGGGCTGCCCTACTGCCACTTTCCCACACATTTCCATTCCAAGCCTTTAAACATCTCCCCCACCATTATTTTTTGAATACTTGGATAGCTCTGTTTATACAGCAGGCACATTTTCATTCTACACAGTATAACCTTAACTGGGTAGCAACAGTTTCATTTGTTTTCTAGTGTATGAGTAAGGAAAACATTGGAGAAAACCTTCCAAATCTGCATTTCTACTAAATTTGATTCTAAATACCCAGTGCCATGGAGCTGCATAGCTGGAGTTAAACCTACTCTGGAGACACCAGATCACTGAAAGCTGATCTAGAAAATGAACATAATTCAGGGGTGTAAAATGGCTACCAAGGGGTTGGATAAATCCCAACATAATCCAAGCATCACCGAACCTCCCGCAAGGCCAATTGGATGCAGAAGTGCAGCCAGGGCTCAGCAGGGCTGCCCTACTGCCACTTTCCCACACATTTCCATTCCAAGCCTTTAAACATCTCCCCCACCATTATTTTTTGAATACTTGGATAGCTCTGTTTATACAGCAGGCACATTTTCATTCTACACAGTATAACCTTAACTGGGTAGCAACAGTTTCATTTGTTTTCTAGTGTATGAGTAAGGAAAACATTGGAGAAAACCTTCCAAATCTGCATTTCTACTAAATTTGATTCTAAATACCCAGTGCCATGGAGCTGCATAGCTGGAGTTAAACCTACTCTGGAGACACCAGATCACTGAAAGCTGATCTAGAAAATGAACATAATTCAGGGGTGTAAAATGGCTACCAAGGGGTTGGATAAATCCCAACATATTCCAAGCATCACAGAATCTCCCACAAGGACAATTGAGTCCAGCTCCTGGCCCTGCACAGGATTTGCTGAAGCCATTGGTGCAAAGATACAAAACTGTAAGTAAGATATTCCAATTTATTCAAAGCAGTCAAAACTGTGATGTTACATCCTAGTCCTGAAAGAAATAAAGCTTTGAGCCTATAAAACAATAAATGAACAGAGGTCACAAATTCCTAAAAGGAGGAAGGTGAGAAAACCAGACAGAATGGAAAGGATCAAAAGATGATTAAGAAAAAAGTCTTAATTTTTTCTTTAAAAGGACTTATTAGACATGACATAAGTACTAAAAACACCACTGAAGGAGGAGATGCTCTGTGTGCTGATGCAGGACTGGGGCAGGACAACAGGGAAAATTCTGCCTGCTGGGGATGGAGAACTCAGCAGAGGAGCAGCAGTGGATGAAGGGGCTGGGCAATAACACACATAATTCTGGATGGAGAAGAAATGTCTAGAATGCACGGAGAAGGGGGGAAGGCCATCTTTAAAGCAGTCAAGTTTCCTGGAAGAAGTGAGGAAAGGTGGTAAGAGAGTATTTACAGAACTCCTGAGGAGAAAGATGCCTCATGGCACTTCCCCCGTGCTCCTTGGGGATGGGGATCCCAAGCTGTAACCTGTCAGGATGGACAAGCAGGAGACAATCCCCTACAGCCCCCAGCTGAAATCTCTGCATGTTCCAAGCTCTCTTCTGATTCTTGCAGCTTTCCCAAAGCAGGGAGCAGAGGTGAAGGCACTGTGAGCAACAGCAGGGCCAGAGACATTTCCTACAACACTCTCAGGTGCCAGAGGAAGCAGCAGCAGCAGAACTGGGAGATGTGTACCAAACAAAGGAGATGAAATAACATCATTGGAATGATCGTTTTTAGTGTCCCAATGGAGAATAGTAACACTGGACAGATGAGCAGGACAACCTGGGAGGAGGTAGTCCCAATTACCCCACATTTGCTTTTCCTGTCTCTGTAGCAGCTTGTTCCCAAACCACTGGATGTGTTGGAGATAAGGAGGATGGCAAGGAAATCTAATTTTTTTTTTAATTGAAATCACCAGATTTATACCCTAAGACCCTACTTCCCAGATGGAGAACATGAAAGATTCCCTAAAATTTTGCCTTTAAAATATTTCATTATTTTATAGCATCATTTTACACTTTTTACAGCTGACTTCTGCATTTCTAAGTGATTTATAAGTAACTCCTAAAGGAAAACACAAACTTGTTGGATATTCTATTCCCCAAAGACACACAGAGAGTTTCTATAAAAGAAATCCTGCAGGCAATGTTTCTCTTCTCACACACCAAGCCCAGTGGATTTCCAACTTTGTAAATAAAACTGAGCTGATTTCAAAATAAGCCAGGGGCTGGAATAATGAAAAAACACAACCAGAGAAACACTTGCAAACCATAGAATGGTTTGGGTTGGAAGGGACCCCAAGGATCATCTAATTCCAATTCCTTGCCATGGGCAGGGACACCTTCCACTGCCCCAGGCTGCTCCAAGCCCTGTCCAGCCTGGCCTTGGACACTTCCAGGGATCCAGGGGCAGCCCCAGCTTCTTTGGGCACCCTGTGCCAGGGCCTGCCCACCCTCACAGGAAGGTATCTAAAATGCTTGTTCTAGATAAATATTAGGTTAGTTAGAAACAACCCTGTAAATACAAAAGGATGGTGGTATATGTGTCATTAAATACATTATCATTCCTCTTTTAGTTTTAGTTTTGACATTCCAGAAAATTTCCAAAAAGCTTTTCAATAATCAGGTCTCACATAGAATGAATTAATGGATGACCAAGCCGGCTGCACTTTGCCTTTAGTAGTTTAATTTACTTGTTGTTGGACAATTATGTTGTAGTAAAAACTGTCTGGAGGCATTGTGCAAACGTGAATAACGCATCACTACAGATTTACAACAGGTAGTAAGGAGCAAGCTTGTGTGGCAGCCACACTTGAGCTGCAGCTTTGTAGTGGATGTTAAGCTCCACACCTTCCCAGGAGTTGGAAATCTCCTTGGAGAATGACACCACTGCTGACCAGGAAACTTAACTCTTGGCACTGCAGTCCACAGGGATGGACACTGAGGGACTGGGGAATGTCCAGGGAAGGGTCTGGAGCTCCAGAAGGGACTGAGGGACCTGGGAAGGGGCTCAGCCTGGAGCAAAGGAGGCTCAGGGGGGCCCTTGTGGCTCTGCACAGCTCCTGACAGGAGGGGACAGCCGGGGTTCGGGCTGTGCTCCAGGAACAGGGACAGGAGGAGAGGGAATGGCCTCAGGCTGGGCCAGGGGAGGGTAGATTGGATATTGGGGAAAATTCCTTCACCAAAGGGTCACAGAGGAATGCACAGAGACCAGGCAGACATGGAAACATGGTGCCATTTTCAATCTCCTCTCACAGCAGAACATAACAGCTGAATTCCAGGAAAGCCAGCCTGTGTGAGCACATACAGACTGCAGATTTCAAGGAATTAGTCACTGGTAAAACAATCTTTCCATCTCTGTCTTCAAAAGTGCAGCTCACTGCTGGGGATTCCTGTTTGGAATGTGCACATCAATTTGTCTGGAGAGGGGCCTGGAGCCTTTCACACAAACAGCAACAGCAGCTGGTGTGCCAAAGGCTTTTCCAGCTGTTTTTACAACAATGCAAACTCAAACCCAGCTGCAGGTAACTCCTCAGCAGGTTACCCAACCCCACACAGAGGCACTGAGGACCAGAGGTGGGGCTGAGCTGAGCAGCCTCATGGGCTTGGGAACCAGACCATCTCCACTTCCAGGGGCTGAGCAGAGTAAACAGCCTTTTGGATCTGTTTTTATTGGCACAATTCTAAGTTAGTATCTTAAAATTGCCTTCCTGATATGTCAGGTGTAAAAGGCAAGCAACTCCTCAAGCACCAGGATGAATTTAGGGAAAAAGAATGCCTTTGTGGGGTTTTGTGAGGGAAAAGGGAACTCATTCTTCTCTGAACTTAGACTTAGCATGGTATACAAGCATATCATGCCTAGGAAGAATGTCAAGGCATAGGGGAATGTGGGAATGAAAAGTGGGACAGACATGCAGAGCACAGAGATACAGAAGTGACTGGTCTGGACTTGTAAAATGTAAATTAAAGACCTATTCCAAGATGTCCTGTGGCCAATAAGAGACCTTCAATCCACTACACAACACTTCTTCCCCTCTAAACAGCTCAGTCTACCTCTTGAAGTGTTCCAAAAGTGGCTGTGACTGGAAAACCTGAATGCAGCAGACAGAATGTAAGCAATGTTGCACCATCCCTCTTGCTGACAGAGTATACAACAGCTTTGTCCATCATGTTCATGAATGGTAATCCTTGGATTTGAGAATAAAATTCTTTCCATGCATTCTGTGCTGCCATGAAAGCCAACAGAGGTACCTGAAGTACTTACAAGGGTTTTCAAGGAAAACCTTCCCCTTGACTGACACAGACATTAAAAACTAAGTCAGAAGGAGAATTAAGCAGCATCTACTACAAAGACAAATGGATTTTGTTTTTGGAATAGGAAGCATCTTACTGTGTGGGACAGGCCTCTGGAAACACGTAGCTACAGACATTCCTGAGAGCATTTTCTGGAAGGGATCTCACTGAGGCAGGCACCACTCAGACTCCTGGACATGCGGATGGAGAAGCACCCCCACACACAGACAAGTCTGTCACAGAATCCCAGAGTGGCTGGGATTGGAAGGGACCTCAAGGCTGATCTCATTCCAACACGCTGCCATGGGCAGGGACACTTTCCACCAGACCAGACTGCTCCAAGCCCTGTCCAACGTGGCAGAGTGAAACCACAGAAGCTCTAGATAGTGCTGAGCCTTAGAATTCCCCCCAAGGTATGCTAAGGACTACTCTGGTTAAGGTGACACTCTATACCTCTTTTTTTCCTCTCTCTAAAGCCTAAGCTTTTGACTGCAGAGTCATCTGGAGAGTTTGCAGGAGTTCAATCCCCGGGATGATCCAACCAGAGATGGAACAATATCCGCCTTTAGCTCAAGTGCTGTGTGTAACCACTGCCTCTGAAGGCCTCTGCTCCTGTGGAGAATGCAAGTGGCAGGGCACTGCACCGATAACGGGGTTGATTCATGGAGGAAATCTTCAGAGAAACATCATTACGCCAACAGAGATGTTCCAAAGGGCAAGACACCAGCCAGTCTTCCAGCCAAGATCAGAGATGGCAAATCTTGCCCCAGATCATCTTAAACTTGGAATTGCAGTTGCAAAGTTCTTTTAAGTCTGGGATAAGGATTCAGCTTCCTTCCCTTAAACAAGGTCATACTGCCTTTAAGTGTAGCACAAAGGAGATACGACATGAAACAGATTTCTGGCCTCTACTTTTAGGCATGACATCAGTCTCAGAAAAGAGACATCTTTGACTGGTGATGCAATTGCCCCTTTAGGTAATTATGACACCCGGCAAAGGCAGTAAAGAACATTATTTCACTTTTATTAAAACAGAATCTAGGAAGCCTTATCACAAAAGCTACCTTGCCTTGATTTTCCCAAACAGTTCTTATCACTGGCAAGAAGTTTGCTGCATAGGTGATGGTGCTGGTCTAGAATTTGGTGTTTGCTGTTGACCTTCAAACTAGACTTGTATTGGAAGCGAGTGAGCCCCCAGATATTTGATGTCCTTCAACAAAAAAGCTTCGTTAACAAGAAATGCCCCCAGGGAGGGCGAGTTCCGAGGGCTGTGGCCATGAACTGGTCAGAGACAGAGCAGCTGAGGAAACCTGGAATGGGAGAACTTCTCCCACGTGAGAACTTGTTCTTCACCAGAAGCTGCCAGGGCTCTTCTGAGGAGCAGCACACCTCACTCAGCACCTGCTTTAGAAAGAGGGGTCTGAACTCCAGCACTCTCTTTGGGCTCATCAGCAAAAGCCACAGTCACAGCCTGGGGCTGTATCAGGGCTCAGCCTGAAGCAGAGTGAGTCACAGCAGAGAACTCTGAAGACTAAAACTGGCACCTGCAGTGGGAGAAGTTACTCCCTTCTGCCAAAAAGCAGGCACTGTGTGGGATAAAGGTCCATAGTCAAAACAAATCCTCATGTGGGTGGCTCAGGACTGCAAAATAACCTGCATGTTACTGAGTTTAGACTGAAAACCACACCAGAATGGCTGTGGGTATCTGACACAATTCAGTTTATATCCATCCCAACTGGGGACAAGCCCAGAGATTATCAGTTGACACTAGAAAACAAAGATACTGAGGAAGGGCATTGTCAGGGAAACACAGGGGAGCAGGCAATACACTTGGGTAAAAGTTGGTATTAACCATATGCTAATGTTAAGAAAAAGTTGGTATTAACCATATGTTTCTCAAAATACCATTGAATGTAAAATTCCAGCACTCTGACCACTGGAGCACAGCTGAGTGAGAGTAACCACCAAGCAAGGGGATGTTGAACCACAGCACAGCAAATCCTGCAACTGTAATGACTGGCCTGCAGGCTGCTGGGTATCAATGAGAATGATCAAAGCAGGCTTATCAATCCAAGCAGGATTTAAAGCCAAATTATTCTAGTTTGCTGCTTTGTTTCTTGAACTCAAGCCAATCTTAAAAATTCAAATACCACTTCAAACTGCAGAGCACTGGCAGCATTAATAAAATGGCAACTACCTCTCGAGCAGCAAGGAGAGCACTTGAAATGGCACCAAACACATCAGAGATGTGTAAAATTCCAGCACTCTGACCACTGGGATACACCATCTCAGCACAGCTGAGTGAGAGTAACCACCAAAAACACAGCAAGGGGATGTTGAACCACAGCACAGCAAATCCTGCAACTGTAATGACTGGCCTGCAGGCTGCTGGGTATCAATGAGAATGATCAAAGCAGGCTTATCAATCCAAGCAGGATTTAAAGCCAAATTATTCTAGTTTGCTGCTTTGTTTCTTGAACTCAAGCCAATCTTAAAAATTCAAATACCACTTCAAACTGCAGAGCACTGGCAGCATTAATAAAATGGCAACTACCTCTCGAGCAGCAAGGAGAGCACTTGAAATGGCACCAAACACATCAGAGATGAAAAGCAGCTTATCAGTTCCCTTCCCAAGCATTGATTTTGTCTGTACCTGGCTGATATGTACGGCAGAAACCTGGGCAGAACACACGGAGGAGTGGCTCGGAGAGTTGGGTAGAGATTTGCAGGGTCCGATTGAGAGCTGCTGCTTCTTCTTGGTGGAAACAATCTTCTGGGCAACTGAAGGGGAACAAAACAGGCAGGCAGGTCAGGCAGAGCACTCGGGGGAAAGCAAACGATGAACAGCACACAAATGGGGGTCACCACCAAAGCCTGCTCCAGAAACTGATGTGTTACAGCAAAGGTTTTCCACAGTGCTCCATGGGAGACTCCAGCTGGGCTCTCCACGTGGAAAACGTGACTCTAGAAGTCTCATTCCACCAGGTGAGCATCAGAGGATTAGGGGAAAAAATACAAAAAGCAATACCAGGAATTCTGTACCAAGTCCCCTCTGTGTTTTTAACACCACACTAACAAAGCTGATGGTAGCAAACATTTTCCATTCTTCCATGGGATATTCTCCTGGCAGATAGGAGAAGCCTGGTCTTTGCTGCCAAGGAATAAAATGGATTTCCCTTTTTTACCAGCCACTGCACCAGGGCAATCCACTGTGAAGCTCAAACCAAAGATAACTGGAATATCAGAACTGATAGAGTACTAATATTCCTAAAGTTCTAATATTCTAACCCTGACATTGAATAAATACCTGGATTGGTGGTACCACACATCCCAGTGAAATTCTTTATGGAAAGAAGCTGTATCATTATTTCTAATTTTAGCTTTTATTCCTTAGCAGCAGCAGCACAGCTGGAAAAATGCCTAATTTTTTTATTTTGGGGTTTTTTTGCAATTTATTGAGACATTCTCTTCAGCATGGAAGAAAAAGCAGCATTTATCAAACGGATACAGGGATCAGAGCCATTAACATCTCTATACACAGCTTGGCAGACCCATAATAAAAAAAGATCAAACAGAACTCATGTGGAATGCAGCAACTTCCAAACCTCTCCTACAATCTTTCAATTTAAACAAGTCAAACCATTTCAGAAATTCATCCCATCACACACTGGAACCTGAGCTCATGCTGCTAATTCAGCTGAAGCCTTTGGAAAGAGCTCTTTTTATGTCATAAATACATAAAAATAAAACTTCTTGCTACCGTTTGAGTCACAAATTAAACACTAATCAAAAATTCAGTCTTTGGAAACAGGTACTTGTGTAGTGGCTAAACAAAAATGCCATTAAGTAAATTTAGCTTCCTTGCATGCAGTTTTCTTCATGAAGGGAAGCACTTCACAAAACTTATGCTAAGGACTCTGCAGTCACTTGTACCTCCACCAAAACCAGTGACATTTACTGGCATCTCCTTAAAAAGTTCCCCAGAAACTCGCTGGAATTAAGCCAACAGAACCCAGTCTGTCTTGTTCAGCAAACACAAAAAGACAATTATGTAAATTCCGAGATTATTTTCCCTCACTACATTACAGCACAGGCAGGGACAGTGTAAGCATAGTTTCTTCTCAAATGAATGCAATTTTAATAACAAACTGGTCTGTGGCTTATGTTTTTCATGTAAATTAATGATGGCATAACCATGATTTAGTAAGAATACATTGTATAAAGAATGGCTCATATATATGAAGAAGCAGCTTCATTAGTTACATCCCACCTCCAATAGGCCTCTTATCATCCTGAAAGGATGATATCAATTAATTTATCTTCCCCTAGCATATTGATCATAACCTTCATCAGCTAATCATGTTTAAATTAAAGGGGAATATCGTAGCACTCTGTCATTTCAGACCCATTGGGTTATTGATCTGGAGCCTGGGAAGCTATATATTAAAATATTTTAAAACACATTAGTGAGTGAAGAGTGCAAACCAAAGGTCAGATTTTAACCTATGCACATGGATTTGTCTTCATCCTATGTGGTACAGACCTAAATTAAGACCAAAACTGAACAAAAACCACACATGAATGAAAACTGCCTCACCTGCAAAAGCTCCTGCTCTCACATGGGAGAGATAATTAGCCAAGGGAAACTTCTACCTCTCCCTGCAATGTGAGTACAGGGGTGTTGGTAGCACTGACACACACAGCACAGTCTGGCCAAGGAAGGGGAAGGAGCCCAGGACAGCCTGAGCTCAGTGACTCAAACACAGCCTGAACACAAGCAAGGCACTAGGCTGCTCCAAGCCCCATCCAACCTGGCCTGGGACACTTCCAGGGAGCCAGGGGCAGCCACAGCTGCTCTGGGCACCCTGTGCCAGGGCCTGCCCACCCTCACACGGAACAATTCCTAATTCCTAATATCCCATCCAGCCTTGCCCTCTGGCAGTGGAAGCCATTCCCTGTGTCCTGCCCCTCCATCCCTTGTCCCAGTCCCTCTCCAGCTCTCCTGAGCCCCTTCAGGCCCTGGAAGGGGCTCTGAGCTCTCCCTGGAGCCTTCTCCTCTCCAGGTGAGCCCCCCAGCTCTCCCAGCCTGGCTCCAGAGCAGAGGGCTCCAGCCCTTGGAGCATCCCTATGGCCTCCTCTGGAATCTCTCCAGTAACTCTACATTGTTATGCTGGGGGCCCCAAACTGGACACAGGTGGGGTCAAAATAGACCATTCCTCACCTCAAATTTCTTAGCTGCTTGCTCTGTCAGAACAATGATCTTCTATAACGTGAATAAAAATTTCAAGAAGGCAGAAATATTTTTGTCCCAAGATGCTTCTGAACATAATATTTGAAATTAATACTCTCTAAAAAATATTTCTAAAACAGATGAATGCCAACTTAATCTATGGCAGATATCAAAAACAATCCAGAGAGTGAGAAGCATTTCAACTCTTTTTAAAAATCAGTTGAATTGTCTGTACTTTTATATACTCAATCTATCAATTTGGGACAGGTTTTATTGTAATATATCAGTAGTATGAAAAGCTAAACAAAATTTATGTGCAAGAACTCTTCTGCAATAAACAGGGATATGCCATGGATACTTAGAGTTGTAAACAAGGAGAACTGATATTTAGCAAATATTTGGCCTTGGAGGGGAACTGACGCTTATTTTTTATACATTTAAATTTGATTCCACGAGCCAGAATGACTGGGAGTTGCATTCTGCTTGAAGGCATTGCTAATGAAAAGCATGTGAAATTCCTGCTCCAAGTTGGGAGGGAAAGCTCTTGGCTTGAATGCCTCTTCTTCCATGGCTGACCTAGCGCACCACAACAAAATTAACCTTCCCACCCCCTGCCACCTCCATCTCAAACGTGACTTTTTGTTAGTCAAAACCCACCCATTCCTCAGCATCTCCCCTCCCTCCCTGCCCACGTGGTTTTCAGGGAGCCGTGAGCAGGAGAGCTTGGAGCTGCACACCAAACTCTGCGGATCTCCGTGCAAACCACGTTTTCCGATGGAAACAAGTGAGCACAGCTCATTTCCCCAAGCAAAGCCCTCCCGCCCTGCACTCAGGGCTGAGGAGCAGAGGGCTGAATTCCCCTGGGGAAGGACCAGGGTGGTGCCTCCATAATGAACTGACTCCTCTTGGTGCTCCTGTGGGAGCTCATCCCCACTGGGAACGCTGGTGCCAGAGGAGCTGCTCTGACAGAGCTGTCTTGCCCTGGCCTGGTGAAGGCTGCCCTAGTACAGAGGCCAGACAGAGTCAAAGAATAAAGCAGGCATTTATTTAAAGGCCTCAATGGATCCACCTTGGGCAGCACAAGAGCTCAGCCAGGGTTACACCCAAGATGGACCAAAATGGTCACAAAAATGGACGACCAGTCACGGGGTCTCTCACTTTTTTAAGTTCTTGCATATTGGAGTTAATTGTCCAATTACAGCTTTAGGGTATCAAATCCCATCCTTCTTGTTTTTCTCTCTTCAGTTCACATTGTTTATGCTCTTGGGCCTGAGATTTGGATCAGTCACCCTTGGTCTCCCTTGTTTGGTCTCCCTACTCTCTGAAGAGAGCTCACCATCCCCTAATATGAAGCCCAGAATAAATGAGTGTACACACTGAAGCAGCACAGAATCTGAAAAACAGAAAAGCTAAAACCTGAGGCACCAACCTCATCAGCACAGCTCCATCCAAGGACAAGGATGAGAAAGGCAGGGATCTGAGGGGAAAATACTCCCTAGGAGGAGTTCAAGGCACAAGGTGAGAGTCTGCTCCAGCCCCACATCTCAGAAAACTGAGAACATTCTGCAGCACCCCAGAGATGAGCTGAGGTAAACCTCATCTAGGCTGAGACCTGACCACTCCCTGCTCCTAAGATGGGTCCTGGAAAACACCCAAAGGTACCAGCAGTCTGATCACCTTTCACTCCCCAAAGACAGGGAATACAGTTATTCCTGTGCTCTTTTTTATACATTTAAATTGCTCAACCAAGGAAAGCTTGGAATATTATAAGGGAAGACTCCAGGCACACAAGACCCCTAACATCTGGTGCCATTTCTCTTCTTAGTGCTCACAGTACAAGGGTGCTGCATATTATAGGAGATGTAAACACTCTTCTCCAATTACCACTAATTTAAATCAAAACTGGTTTTTCATAAAAACCTGTGTAAGACCATCCATCTCCTGTGCACGTCCAAGAAGAGTAAACAGCAGGTTCAGTTAAAACCTGCCACTTGTGCAAAAGATGGGAATGCAGGAAATTTTCCTTCACTCATGGACAGACAGAAAATGGCTTTCAGTTGAAGCTGGAATGCTGACAGCTGAGTGAAAAACATCAGCAGGGATAAATACTTTTTAAATAAATACCTGTTTTAACTACTTGGTGGGAAAAAAAAAACAATGCAAAATTGGGATTTTTGTGTGAGCAAATACTTGCTTTTACCTTAAGAAACAGAAGTGGAAGATGTTAAGATATATAGCAGCTTACATTTTTACAGCAGCTGCCTTTTAGCTTAATATTCCATATTTACAGGATAAGTAAGGGTTCAATAAAAGTAAATTTATTCCACAATTACATAGTGCAGGAGAGGCAGTAATAACTACCAGAGCAAGCCTTAACCACAAACGCTTCCAAATGGGAAACATTAATGTAAGTAGCCACTATTAAGGCCATCGTGCCTGTTATTTTAAATTCAATCAATTTTCTAGGCTAAACAACCTTTCTATTCTTCTGTTTAAAAGGAAAGCTTGGCATCTCACATGTCAGGTGTTATAGAGACATGAGTGCTGGACA